AATTACCATTAAGAACTAGAAAAATAGGGGCGCCTGGGTGGCGCTGTCGGTTAAGCGTCCGACTTCAGCCAGGTCCCGATCTCGCAGTCCGGGAGTTCGAGCCCCGCGTCGGGCTCTGGGCTGATGGCTCAGAGCCTGGAGCCTGTTTCCAATTCTGTGTCTCCCTCTCTCTCTGCCCCTCCCCCGTTCATGCTCTGTCTCTCTCTGTCGCAAAAATAAATAAACGTTGAAAAAAAGAACTAGAAAAATAGAGGGCAGCCTTGACCATTACCTACCTGTGTCAGCATCCGCTGGGCTCTCCACTTCCTGGGGGCTGTTCCTTCCTCCCCGGGTCTGCCGCCCACCCCATCACCCCAGCCGTGGCACCTCCAGGCTCACGGATGTCATAAGGATGTGATGAGGCTGCCACAGAGCCACAGATCCAGGGGCCCCTTTTCCCCACTGCTCTCCCATCCTGTGATGGCTGGGCACCTCCCAGCACTCTGGTAGGAAGCAGGACACAAGGGCTGCTCTCAGATCTCCAAACCCATCGGGGGCATCTATCTGATGCTCCTCACATCCCCCATGGGATAGGACTAGCCACAGCGCCCACACCAATCTTCACTCTAGGCCCTTCTCCCCAACTCACGCACTACTTTTGGGCCTGAGGATCTATTTCTAATGGAATCCTCAAGCCTAGCTCCTGGCTAGGGGTGGGGCTGGGAGGGCAGAGGGAAGGACTTCACAATACGCATGCCTGGAGCAGGGACGATGCATATTGGACCCAAGACCATTTTCATAAAAATAAAATTTTTGTTAATGCCTCCTTTACTCTCCATAAATGACAACCATAAATAGTATGCCTTCTCATACACTTAATTTTTAAAAATCATAATACCGTATCTGTACCGTAACGGGGAGGGGGGAAGGAAAACAACTTGTAACCATATAACACATATTTCAAAATGTCAGTGCTCACGCCCCATGACACTGGAAAACATAATAAAGTGTCAGATGCTTGCCTCTGCTTATAATAAGTAAGTTCGGATTTAAGAAAAGTAAGAAGATCAGAATTTACTCTGTATAAGGACAAAAACAGGAAAGAGAGAGATAAAGATCAAAGGCTAGAATAAATATTATTTTAACCTGTGTTTTCATTTTATTTATTTATTTTGAGAGCGACAGAGAGAGCAGGGGAGGGGCAGAGAGAGAGAGAGAGAGAGAGAGAGGATCCCAAGCAGGCTCCAATGGGGGGGCTTAAACCCAAGAACCGTGAGATCATGACCTGAGCTGAGATCAGGAGTCCAAAGCTTAACCGACTGAGCCACCCAGGCGCCCCAGCCTGTGTTTTTTAAAACTGCAAAAATTGATTACATTTTGTAGTCTGTACATGTGATGGGAGTCAGGTTCCCAGGTCCCTGCTCATTCAATGCCAGCCGTGCCTCCTGGTCATTGTGAAATTAAGACATGTCTCCCCACATTGCCAGAATCACACGCACATACAGTCGCGGTTCCTTGAACCACTGAGTTAATGCTTCAAATAAATATTAACCCACCAAGTGAGAAAAATTCCAACCGTACGTGTGGCAGCATATATCCCAAATGTTAACCGTCGTTTTCCAGAGGGAATTACAGGAAACATGCCCATTCTTTTTTACCTTATTTAACATTTCCCAATAAAATGTTGCTTGCAACCACTATGAAGTTTTGCGACCAAGAAACCCCAGTCAGAGCTATCTTGAAGAACGATGTGCCAGGGCTCCCTCTAGTGGGCGTGTTTGTTTTTGCTCCTTTAAAGGCGGATTCAATTCTGTGATGAGACATTGTCAATTCACTTTGTTTTTTAATGTTTTTATTTTCTTTTTGAGACAGAGAGAGACAGAGCACGGGCGGGGGAGGAGCAGAGAGAGAGGGAGACACAGAATCCGAAGCAGGCTCCAGGCTCCGAGCTGTCAGCACAGAGCCCGACACGGAGCTCAAACTCACGGACCGTGAGCTCATGACCTGAGCTGAAGTCGGACGTTTAACCGACTGAGCCACCCAAGCGCCCCATTAACTCACTTTTTTTTTAATGCCAAGATAACGCAGACGGGGAGCCCCGCCTCACAGCGCGGTCTGCAGGTGGCTCCAGGTATCCCGCTCCTCCCAGTCCTTCTGCTTCCCTCAGCCCCTTCCGCATCGCCGCCCGGTGGCCAAAAGCGGTACTGCGTCCTCGGGAGGCGACGCAGAGGGAGGGGCAGTGGGCGCTGCCACCAGGACCCCTAACCTCGGTACCGTTGACCACTTAGTCTGGTAAAGCTTATGGACCTCCTCTCAGAAGAACCGTCTTTTAAACATGTAAGATCACATCCATATGCCTAAAAGAAAACCAATAATATTGAAGTGATTATCAAAGTACTTATAATTGTGTGATATAGTAATAAATGTGTTCCATCAGCGCTTTCAAAAATCAGCTCTGGTGGCAGGCCTAGTAACTCTTTTCCAAGTCCTGAGGGACACATACGGTATTTGGAGCTGTCGGCGACAACTTGATGTGCTCTATCTAGTG